TATATATATATATATATATATATATATATATATATACATAAACGTGTGTATATATATATGTATATAGTACATATATTAGCATATTTCTCCCAAACCAATTAGTTCTGATTTAAAATATGTTGCTCGCCCCCTCCCTCTATGTCCACATTTCATCCCACCTTTTTGGCAGGTGTGTACATCACTTGTGCACTTGGATTAATTCAGATTGTTTTTGTTTTGTTTTTATCCTCTGGCAGTACTTTGAAACTGATGACGAGGAATTTTACAAAACCAAGGTCTGCTTCATTCTCAACAATGATGTCAGCGAGATGGACCTGCTGTTTGCAGAGGAAAAATACAGCAAGTCTGGACACCTGGAAAAGGTAGGCCTAAATCAGTGAAAAAATATTAATAATGAAAGAAATCTGTTCAATTTTAATCTATATTCCAGATTTTAACAATGTAGTTAATGCAGTGTACGGACGCATAGATATATACACTAGATATCGCATAGGGACCCTGAGCATGCGTCACTAGCACCGCCACATTGGTACAGTGCTCCCAGGACAAATGTCATTCAACCGCACTAGTCAAGACAGTGTTATTACGTGAAGATGCGGGACTTTAGCGCTGTCTACGGGTGTAGTAATGAGCAAACAAAGAAAACAAAGCACAAAGGCAGAACATTTTGTAGGTAAGATAAAGTTTTTTCTGTTTTTGTATGTTTTGAACTTTTGTGCTAATCAGGTAACGTTACAGATGATGATACAGTCTCTTACTGCATTCACCATACGGCAAAGCAGCTCCAACTCGCACTAAACACTCGGATTATGCTAGTTTTGTTAAATAAAATCAGCAAACAATACAAAAGAAATATGACAACGAGATGCTGCGCTGCCAGAAACTTGTATTATTGTCAGCTAGTGAAGGAGTCGTTCATAACGGAGATTCATTCACAAACGAATCGCTCCCTCCGTCAGCATGAGAAGTGAAAGCAGGAGAGGAGCTGTGTTTCAGGACACGGATCAGATCAAATTAAACAGGGAGGGTGGATAGTACATTTCCATACACACAAACACAAGCTTTTTGTCAGTGCGTTCACTGATCCATTAATTTAGAAAAGTGATGTAAAATTATAATTTTCATAATAATTATAAAAAAATGTGCTCACTGACCTCCCGGAAAACTCCCGGTCATAGATATACGTGTATATGTGTATATCTCTGGCTTTGGATGGCCACAGTCCTCCACTGCAGCTTGGTCCCTCATTAATTTCAAAGGAGCGCTACCCTGTACCAAGATGGCGGCTCTATTGACGCATTCCTTCCAATAGACATCAACAGGGTAGGCGACATCTAATGTATATATCTACGGTACGGATGGTGGTGCTATTGCATGTTCACCATGCATTTGTGATGGTGACCCACAGAGTTGTCCAGTCCAGTTCCGGAGATCTCATGTCATGCAGAGTTTAGTTTCACTCAACATGCTAGCAGTGCTTTTGATGAAAGAGGAGATGCAACAATAATTTACAGAAGTGTTTTATTCAAGATTATAGATTACACAAGACGTCACTTGTATAGTTTTCGACAGGTGTTTTGAACCCTTTTGATCAGCAAACACTTCAGAATCTCAGTGAGTAATTGCTTCATACATAGACTTGAGAAATATATCCACAGAAAGCCTGCAATCTATTAAAAGCCTCCAACTACACTTGAAAACAAATGGTCTCTGGTTTTGTTATCTGTATCAAACCAATGCAAGGTATAGGCCGTCCTGCCAAACACGTATCACATGGAGTGTAACAATTTAAACAATTTAGTTTACCCAATTCACCTGTCCCACAAATAGTGACGGATAAATCATAAGAAAATCACCAAGACTTACAAATAAATAATATTTTATTGCTGTCATTTAACAAAATGTATCAAATTATTGAAATATTACAAAGTTAAAACGACAAATAATGCAAAATGGTTCGGGTAAGGATAGGTTCAGTTACCATGAACTAAACTATTAATAAAACATGTTGTCTGGTTTCTGAATGTCATTTTAATTTAGAAGGTTTCGTGCTCTCTTGTAAGAGCACCTCACTACTGATGACAAACTTGAGTCTTGTTTGTCATCAATATATGTAAATCCATACTTTACATATTCAGGGTCGTACTTGCACTTTGACATATTTGTTGCTATAATTAAATGAAATTTCACATGTCAAACACTACCGTACGTTCACACCGAAAGCGGCGAGAGCGTCCAAGGTCGCTCTGGCCGCCCTGGCGACTACGCTGTCTGCCTTCAGCTCCGGCGGCGAGAGCGTCAAAACTCGCTACATTGATCTCGTACTTAAAGGAGCCGTTGCAGCATTATCAGTTACATTCCTGCATAAGGCATGTTTTAGCGTGAAAATGTTGCGCACTTCTTATCAAATTCATACAACAATGGAAGATCAAGTTGCGTGTGGTGTGGCTTTGCTCTATTTATCCAATATGTGTCCATATGTCTGAAATATCCTGAAGCAGCAGTACTGTTTTGTACTGTCACATCGCGTGAGATTCCCGCTTTTTAAAGATAAATTTATATAACATTAATGAACATCAGTAACTCGCCAGTAACTTATTTAATGCATGTTCCTGTAAGAAAACATTGTAAATAATTGGAAATCCGGCGACCGCAATAATCAAACCCTTGGGAACAACTGTGGTCGGAACCAAAGTTCACAGGTCTGTGTTCCCTGAACTGCTATCAAGCGTTGGACGTCTTCATTCTGATTGCTTGCCGCCGAACAGCGTCATAGCACATTACCATAAAGTTGACTTCATTTCAACTCTCCTCGACGCTCACGCCGGCTAAGACGCGCCGCGCTGCTCCTCGCCACTTATCGTCGCCTATCGCCGCCGGCTCTCATTCGGTGTGAACGTACGGTAAGGGTTGTTGTGCACGCATTTCAAAATAAAAGTCAAAATAAGTTTGGAATTAAACTTTTGTTGTTGTTTTTTGACCACACGCTCTGCAACCCACTGAAAATGTTCCCGCGACCCACTTTTGGGTCGCGACCCACCAGTTGAGAAACACTGATCTAGAGGCCTTCGCCTTTCATATAAGCCACTTCTAAAATCAAATGATCAAATATAAGTCAAGTTATTATTTGTTGTTCCTAAAACTTAGATAGGTGACAAGACTTTTGTCAGGTATTGTATATGACTTTATTTGGTCACATGGACCAACACAGACAGAATAGTTTACAATAAATCCTGGCTCTTTCATAATGGTGTTGAATAGTGGCAGTCATATACCCTGAAGATGGTTTGACAGTGAGTAAACCATGTGGTGGTTTTCATTTTTGGGTGAGCTATTCCTTTAAGAGTGATTTGAAGAAACGAGTGATTGTTTGTTTGTACACTTTCACTGATAGTAGTACTGTTACAGGTGGTGGAACTGATACCTGGTGGTGCTCAAATTGCTGTGACCAATGAGAATAAAAATCACTATTTAAACTTGTTGGCCCAGTACAGACTAGCCAGTCAAGTGAGAGAGGAAGTCGAGCACTTCCTTAAAGGTAAGATCAGATTTTCTAAATCAATGTCTCCGAGTGAAGAATTTCATATTGACAGAATGACCTCTTCTGTTCAGGTTTGAACGAACTGGTCCCTGAAAACCTTCTGGCCATATTTGATGAGAATGAACTGGAGGTAAGAAATTCTGTTTGCAGCAGTCCTTTGGAAACCTTTTCCATTTTCAATTTAAACTTGGAGTCTAATCAAGATGATGTGATGTTGCCAAATATCAGTAAATGTGACCGTAGATTTAACAGTCATTAAAGCCATTAGTTGTTTTATTTTTTTAAACATGTCTCCGCATGTAAAGTTGATGTTTAAGAGGTTTTGACTCGTCTGTCTTGTTCCCAGTTGTTGATGTGTGGCACAGGAGATATAAATGTCCAGGACTTTAAAGCTCATGCAGTAATTGTTGGAGGGTCATGGCATTTCAGAGAAAAGGTGAGTGACACTAGTGAGTAGTATACACTCACTGGCCACTTTATTAGGTACACCTGTCCAACTGCATGTTAACGCAAGTTTCTAATCAGCCAATCACAGGGCAGCAACACAATGCATTTAGGCATGTAGACATGGTCAAGACGATCTGCTGCAGGTCAAACCGAGCATCAGAATAAAGATGATTTAAGTGACTTTGAACGTGGCATGGTTGTTGGTGCCAGACGGGCTGGTCTGGGTATTTCAGAAACTGCTGATCTACTGGGATTTTCCCACACAACCATCTCTAGGGTTTACAGAGAATGGTCTGAAAAAGAGAAAATATCCAATAAGGGCAGTTCTGTGGGTGACAGTGAGTTCACTGTACTCAAATGGCCTCCACAGTCACCAGAGCTCAATCCAATAGAGCATCTTTGGGATGTGGCGGAACGGGAGATGGGCATCATGAATGTGCAGCCAACAAATCTGCAGCAGCTGCATGATGCTGTCAATGTGAGTCAAAATCTCTGAGGAATATTTCCAGTACCTTGTTGAGTCTATGCCACGAAGGATTAGGGCAGTTCTGAAGGCAACAAGAGGGTCCAACACAGTACTAGTAAGGTGTACCTAATAAAGTGGCCGGTGAGCTTTTTTTCATAAATGTTTTTGTACACCTCTTATTTAAGAAAGACAAGTATAACTAGTTAGTAATACCATTTCGTTTTAAAAGCAATCACATTTGATTTATGTGTATCTTTTTTATTTAAAGAATCTCAATGTAACACTTTACCTGAAATAGTTGTTCATAAGTTCTTCATCTTTATAATCATACCATGGCTAATGTTATGAATATGAAGATTTTATGCATGTTCAGGACAACTTCATTTCTCTTATTTGCTAAGTAATGTCATTTTAAAAGCAAAGTTGACATTGTTAAAGGTGTCTTTATGACGGCTCGAAATAAATACATCACAACTTGTCTTGATCATGACAACTTGACATTACCAATACAGCATAAATTGTCATAAATCTGTCATAAACATGATTACTATGAGGCCATTGTGCTTGTGCATTTATATTTTTCTAATCACTTTTTTAGTTCTCAGTAAAATTAGTTTATAACTGCCTTTAATTATTTGCATCACTGCAGTTAAGGTTGAGAAAAATATTAATAATGCTGAAAAATCATGACTCCATTATAATTAACTAATGACAACCATGTTTATTAGAGATTTATTATATAGTTATGTTGTCTTGGTAATGTCAAATTGTCATGACAAAGTCAGGTTATGACGTGTTTGTCAAGTTCTCGTAAAGAACTCTTAAAAGATGTAAACTTTGCATTTAAATGAAACAATTGGAAGAAATTAAGTAAAATAAATAACTTGCATTCGCTTCCTATTATTTTTGGGTCTGACTAAAAAGTGCTGCAGTTGACCTGTGTATAACCTGATTATCCCTTTGCTTAGGTGATGAAGTGGTTCTGGGCGGTGGTATCATCCTTCACACAGGAAGAATTGGCGCGATTGCTGCAGTTCACCACCGGCTCCTCACAGCTTCCACCTGGTGGCTTCAACACGCTCTGCCCTTCCTTCCAAATCATAGCAGCTCCCACACACAGCACGCTGCCCACCGCACACACCTGGTGAGCACTCACTATTGCCCCACTTTCACAGGAAATCCACAGTCCAGTTTCAGAACTAAAGTAACATTACTACTATTTCCTTTAAATGTCACTTTCAGGGTTTAATATTTGTTGCATATAGCCATGATACTGATTAAATTGTTTTGTGAAAACAGCAGAGAAACTATACAAAGGGAACAAAATCATTAAATCTAATTAATTATTATTATTTTTTAAATGGTGGCATGTCTAAATGTTCATTTAATGCCTCTGTTTCTAACAAAGCCATGTAGTGTAACAGTGTGCCTACAGATTCTCTAACTATGGCAAAATTAATAATTTAGCACTGCCTAGAAGCATGTGTGTTGTCACTTTTAGAGTTTTATTTTCTGTTTAAAGGAATTGTTCATGCAAAATAAAAAAAAAAAAAGTGATAATTTACTCACCTTTGAGCATTCCTTGTTATATATACAGTGCATCCGGAAAGTATTCATAGTGCTTCACTTTTTCCACATTTCTTTATGTTACAGCCTTATTCCAAAATGGATCAAATTAATTTATTTCCTCAAAATTCTTGACACAATCCCCCATAATGACAATGTGAAAAATATATATTTTTTTAATTGTTGCAAATTTATTAAAAATAAATACCTGAAAAATCCCATGTGCATCAGTATTCACAGCCTTTGCAATGAAGCTGTAAATTGAGCTCAGGTACATTTTGTTTCCACTGATCATTCTTGAGATGTTTCAGCAGCTTAATTGGAGTTCACCTGTGGTAAATTCAGTTGATTGGACATGATTTTAAAAGGCTCACACCTGTCTATATAAAGTCCCAGGGTTGACAGTGCATGTCAAAGCACAAACCAAGCATGAAGACAAAGGAACTGTCTGTAGACCTCTGAGAAAGGATTGTCACGAGGCTGGAGAAGGTTACAGAAACATTTCTGCTGTTCTGAAAGTTCCAATGAGCACAGCGGCCTCCATCATCCGTAAGTGGAAGATGTTTGGAACCACCAGGACTCTTCCTAGAGCTGGCCGGCCATCTAAGCTGAGTGATCAGGGGAGAAGGGCCTTAGTCAGGGAGCTAATCAATAACCTGATGGTCACTCTGTCTTGAGCTTGAGCGTTATTCTGTGGTGGGAGAAGAACCTTACAGAAGGACAACCATCTGTGCAGCAATCCACCAAACAGGCCTGTATGGTAGAGTGGCCAGACGGAAGCCATTCCCTGTGTGGAATTTGCCAAAAGGCGTCTGAAGGACTCTCAGACCATCAGAAACTAAACTCTCTGGTCTGATGAGACTAAAATCTAACTCTTTGGAGTGAATGCCAGGCGTTATGTTTAGAAAAAACCAGGCACCGCTGAACACCAGGCTAATACCATCCCTACAGTGAAGCATGGAGGTGCTGTGGGGATGTTTTTCAGAGGCAGAAACTGAAAGACTAGTCAGGATAGAGGGAAAGATGAATGCAGCAATGTACAGAGACATCCTGAATGAAACCCTGCTTCAGAGTGCTCTTGACCTCGGGTTCATCTTTCAGCAGGACTGGGTTCATCTTTCAGCAGGACAATGACCCAAAGCACACCGCCATAATATCAGTAAAGTGGCTTCACAACAACTCGGTGAATGTCCTTAAGTGGCCCAGCCAGAGCCCAGACCTAAATCCTATTGAACATCTCTGGAAAGATCTGAAAATGGCTGTACACCATCACTTCCCATCCAACCTGATAGAGCTTTGAGAGGTACTGCAAAGACGAATGGGCAAGAATTCCCAAAGACAGCTTGTGGCATCATATTCAAAAAGACTTGAGGCTGTAATCGCTGCCAAAGGTGCATCAACAAAGTATTGAGCAAAGACTGTGAATACTGATGTACATCTGATTTTTCAGGTTTTTATTTTTAATAAATTTGCAACTATTTAAAAAACTCTTTCACATTGTCATCATGGGGTATTGTGTGTAGACTTTTAAGGAAATAAATGAATGAAATCCATTTTGGAATAAGGCTGCAACATAATAAATGCGGAAAAAGTGAAGCGCTATCAATACTTTTCAGGATGCACTGTACATGACAATGTTTTCAGCCATTGTGCCAAAGCAATACAGAAAGACTTGACAACTATTTAATTTGTTTAATGTAGATGTATTGTTCCAGCAGCATGAATATAGTTTGATCTGAAGTATCTGTAGAACAAATCAAGCGGTTTAATTTGGGCTTTCATGATTAACTTTTCCTCTTTCTGTCCTGTTCAGTTTTAACCAGCTGTGCCTCCCAACATATGACTCCTACGAGGAGCTCCACAAGCTGCTGAAGCTGGCCATCAGTGAGGGGAGCGAGGGCTTTGGGATGCTATAAACATCAGTTCCGCTCAGGCAGAAACAGATTTGTCTCCAAACCTGCTTTTCCTTTCTTTTTTTTAAATGAACATCTCACCCCAGTGTACTTTACAATGTACTGTAAAGGAAGGACTTTGATCACAAGATGCCTCTGGGAGGATTCAGGCGTTCTGTACATATGTATTTAAGGACTGTTCTACAACATGGAAATAAGAGTTGAGAATTTTTGTTGTTGTTCAGATAGTTGCCTTTCTTTCTATATCTGAGCGTAGACCTAATGGCCTAACCAAGTGTCAGAATGCTTACTTTGCATTTGGCGTTAGTAGAATTATTATTATTTTTTTTTTTAAAGGAATATTGTAGACTGTAGGATGTTGGAATTGACTGTGTGTCCTCTGCACTTGGGCCTTAACTGATCAGGGAAGGTTGTGTATATAACTGCTGTTTTATTGTTTGATTTATTTATACAGTGTATATTTCTCTTGCTACTCTTCATTTGATATTTGTGACTTTGTTTTTTTTTTTTTCATCGTTGGAAGATTTGAGATTTCTTTAATAGAGATTTTCACACATCTTTACTTTTTCTTACCCAGAGATGTTCAGAAGTCTTCGTTTTAACTGGCATTCCAGCAACAGATAAATAAGTTTTGCTCTTAGCTCTCCTCTCGAACCCTTGAACTTTTCATTTGGAACATTTGACGATATAAACTGAGCATATGTAGGGAATTATTTGTGATCGAATTCAGGGCGAGATGGTAATTAAAATAGGAACTATACTAAAATATTATAAAGACTCCTTCCCTGCTGAAAAATCCAGCTTAAACCAGCCTAAGCTGGTTGGCTAGTTTTAGTTGGTTGACCAGCCTAGTTTTAGAGGGGTTTTGGCCATTTCCAGGCTGGTCTTAGCTGGTCAGGCTGGGAGATGACCAGCTTGACCAGCCTAACCAAGCTGGGAGCCCAGCCAAAACCAGCTGTGTCCAGCTTAAACCAGGCTGGTCAAGCTGGTTTTAGCTGGTCATTTTCCAGCCTGACCAGCTAAGACCAGGCTGGCAATGGCAGGAAACCAGCTTGGAAATGGTCAAACCCCTCTAAAACCTGGCTGGTCAACCAACTAAAACCAGCCAACCAGCTTAGGCTGGTTTAATCTGGATTTTTAGCAGGGTTAATATTGTACCACAACAATTACTGGCCCTACTACTCCTTTAGTTTCCTTTGACTGACATCTATGCATCATATATCAAGTCCTGATACAGCAAATGCTTGTTTTATTCATAACATGTTGTGTTTTTACACTTTTAGTTGGTTTTGTTAATGCCACAGCAAGAGCGAAGTGTAATCTTTGTGGGGAAAATCATGATGCACAATGGATGACTGTTGAAGAACAATGTTTTTTTTAAGTGTATATAATTGTAGCAATGTTGTTTGAGGTCACGGGGCCTTTCTTTGACCACTATAAAACATTTGCCAGGACAAAAAGTGAATAACATGACTACCCTTATAATACACTGTGCTCTCTCTCTCTAACGTATAATCTACATTTGTGTTTTTCATAAGTTGGCCTCCTGAAATTGAACATTGACTATAACATTCCTGTGCAGATGGCTACGGTTTTTATTTTATGTAACCACAATCAGCAGAAAATGATTCATCAATATACTGTAAATGTCATAAAGGATTGCGGGAAAATAACATACAGCAGAATGTTATGGATCAGCTTCATATAAAGCTACAATTGTACATTTAGTCCAGCATTAAGGATGGCACTGTATCAGTAGCCAGGAATAAGAATTTGGGTTTGCCAGGGCGGGAGGGGAAGTGTAAAAAATGAAATACAATAAACTCATGTATATCATTAACAGTCATTTCAGTCATGTCTAATTGTTTGTCTTGCTGTCTTTATAGGCTCTCCCTGCTGAAAAATCCAGCTTAAACCAGCCTAGGCTGGTTGGCTGGTTTTAGCTGGTCGACCAGCCTGGTTTTAGAGGGGTTTTGGCCACTTCCAGGCTGGTTTCCGTCCATTTCCAGCCTGGTCTTAGCTGGTCAGGCTGGGAGATGACCAGCTAAAACCAGCTTGATCAGCCTAGCCAAGCTGGGAGTCCAGCCAAAACCAGCTATATACAGCTTAAACCAGGCTGGTTGAGCTGGTTTTAGCTGGATTTGGCTGGTCATTTTCCAGCCTGACCAGCTAGGACCAGGCTGGAAATGGGTGGAAACCAGCCTGGAAATGGCCAAAACCCCTCTAAAACTAGGCTGGTCGACCAGCTGAAACCAGCCTAAGCTGGTTTAAGATGGATTTTTCAGCAGGGCTGTACTGACTAAATTGTTGTAGTCAATCTTAGAGGATCTAAATGGCCTACTTCTTGTGTACAGGGATATATATAGAACTTCTTAAGTTGAATTTAATAACACAGAACTGTGTTTAAAGCCCTTATAAAAGTGATTTTTTTGCATAATAGGTCCTCTTTAAACCGATTTTCACACGTCTATAACATTTCTAACAGTTTGTAGCATTTGAATATGGAAAGCACAACATTTGACATTACTGTTGGTGCAGCATTACAGGTTTTTGGCAGTCGGTGCTACCTCTAGAAAAAGCTGAAGGAAGACTGTGAGTTTGTTTAACATTCCTGGAAACAGCTTGAAGTGAATGAAAGGTATATAAATCACAATGCTGCTCAGTATGAAGATGACCGCATAGAGGTACTCTATCTGAGGGTCATCGATGATAGGAGCCAGCACCAGGAACACTGCAGCCAGCAAAGCCACGATGGGAAGGATTATGGGTACCTTGCAAAGGTAAAGCAGACATTTGTTGAAGGTTAACTTGTGGTCCAAATTGTCATTTTTTCAAATTGTTATATTGTCTTAACCAAAAAGCTTGAAATGACCAAGAGGCAACACTCAATAGAACATTCCATTGCAACAGCAGCGTCCAGCAACAGCCCCGGATTCTGCCATTTTGGAGTGAAAGCAGTCGGCTGTCCATTGGATCTTATTGCTATCGCAATGGCAAGCAGCTGCTTTTGTTTTTTATTTATTTATTTAAAAAGCGCATTAAAGCTGAGATATAACCTGAAAGACGACAATACAACACTTACTACCCCAATCATCAGCACTTTTAGTTAATTTACAGACTTGTATCATGCTGTTGTTCTATTGGAGTTTTCATTCCAAAATGGCTGCCTCTAGTGGCTGTTTCCCAAAGTGCACTAGAGTGTTGACTCTTGGTGATTCCTTGCTCTTTGTCTTCACCAAAGACTATAGATAGCACAAGACGTGTCACTCGCATACTTTTAAATGGGGAAAAGTGTAACTGTCAATATGGCGAATCAAGCCCAGCCTTATATTACAGGAGCCAATCAGCGATCGCTATATGGTGAATAAAAGCCCGCTTTCTAGTACAGGATCTAATCAGCGATCACTATATGGCGAATAAAAGCCCGCTTTCTAGTACAGGATCTAATCAATGATCGCTATATGGCAAATGAAGCCCGCCTTCTAGTCTTGGATCTAATCAGTGATCGCTATATGGCGAATAAAGCCCGTCTTCTAGTACAGGAGCCAATCAGCGATTGCTATATGGCAAATAAAGCCCGCCTTCTAGTACAGGATTTAATCAGCGATCACTACATGGCGAATAAAGCCCGCCTTCTAGTACAGGATCTAATTAATGATCGCTATATGGCGAATAAAGCCCGCCTTCTAGTACAGGATCTGATCAGCGATCACTATATGGCGAATAAAGGCCGCCTTCTAGTACAGGATCTAATCAGCGATCACTATATGTCGAATAAAGACCGCCTTCTAGTACAGGATCTAATTAATGATCACTATATGGCGAATAAAGCCCGCCTTCTAGTACAGGATCTAATCAGGGATCACTATATGTCGAATAAAGCCCGCCTTCTAGTACAGGATCTAATCAGCGATCACTATATGGCGAATAAAGCCCGTCTTCTAGTACAGGATCTAATCAGCGATCACTATATGGCGAATAAAAGCCCGCCTTCTAGTACAGGATCTAATCAGCGATCACTATATGGCGAATTAAGCCTGCCGTCTAGTACAGGAGCCAATCAGCGATCACTATATGGCGAATAAAGCCTGCCTTCTAGTACAGGATCTAATCAGCGATCACTATATGGCGAGTAAAGCCCGCCTTCTAGTACAGGATCTAATTAATGATCGCTATATGGCGAATAAAGCCCGCCTTCTAGTACAGGATCTAATCAGCGATCACTATATGGCGAATAAAGCCCACCTTCTAGTACAGGAGCCAATCAGCGATTGCTATATGGCAAATAAAGCCCGCCTTCTAGTACAGGATCTAATCAGCGATCACTATATGGCGAAAAAAGCCCGCCTTTTAGTACAGGAGCCAATCAGTGATTGCTACAGAATGACAATTCTCTGGGGGAGGGGCTTGAACTAGACGTGAGTTTCTGCAGATTTTGTTTGATACGAACATTTAGAAATGAAACTAAATTGACAGTTGTTTAATTTTTTTGGTTGTTCGTAATATGAATTGATATCGTAAGCTTGGCAAGTCATTTTGCAGAATTTGATGTTTCCCCATTCAAACAGAATGCCTGAGCATACTGCCCGAGAGGCGTTTCAAAGATGGCCGCCGAGTGAAATGACTTGCCTTAAAGCAGGCGTGTCCAAACTCTGTCCTGGAGGGCTGGTGTCCAGCAAAGTTTAGTTTCAACGCCAATCAGACACACCTGGGTACCTAATCAAGCTCTTACTAGGCTTTCTAGAAACATTCTTGCAGGTGTGTTGAGCCAAGTTGGAGCTAAAATCTGCAGGACACCAGACCTCCAGGACCGAGTTTGGACACCCCTGCCTTAAACTTTCCAAACACTTGTATTGATGTAATGCAATTGAATTCTTCGTCATCTCTTAGATATCAAACAAGCCCACACAAAACAAGAGTTTGAAGTATAAATTACTTAAAAACTCACAATATTATTTCATGATCAAATGGCAATGATATGACTAATAAAGTGACAGTGACTTTACTTGAAGGGGTATTTATATGTAAATAATCAAGTAAATAATTATAACAACAGTCATATGACATTGTTTGAGATGCCTTTGTCATGAAAACTTGACATGGCCAAGACAACATAACTTGTCATAAATCTGTAATAAACATGATTGTCATGAAGCCATTATAATTTATCATTTTATCATGAATATTTTGTGTTCGGTAAAAGTGTTTCCATCGCAGTTTATGCACATCTTTTCTGATTGAATAAGAAGTTTATCCTACTCAGTTATGCACACATATATTTATGCGCATTTTCAAAATTTATGCACATCTTGCTGTTTCCATCAACTGTTTTTTTATGTGCATATCATAGAATAAGAGAATATATCAGTTTGCAACATCAAGCAGCAAAACGAGCTGTTTTTAATGTCTAAAAATCAATGGAAGTAAATGAGACAGGAAGTCTCGAGCCAAAAGGATTCAAATGGCTGCGCCCGCTCGTACGCGAAGAAAATGGTGAATACACGACACTACTTTATTCCCTCCATTGATACAGCACAGTGACTATAATCTAAGCACCACAGAATTAGCAAATTTCTCATATGAACTAAAGACAAATATCATTATCATTAATGCCTGAAGTACACTTAAACTAAAAATGTGTTTTTTTATTTCTAAAATTCCAATAAACTAGTTTAAATATAGGTAATAGAAAAAAACAGATGCTGTATTCATCAAAATATTGTGTGTAAACAGTGGTTGTGTACAAAGTTTAACACATTAAGGATAATTTCTGGTTATATATATACAGCATTTGATGTTCTTAGTCAAGTTTTTCAGTCAACTGCGATTTTTAAAAGTTTTCTGAAATGTAATAGGAAAATCCATGGTTTACCTGCTTAATTTTTAATTTAATTTAAATCATTTTTTCTCTATTTTTATTAGAGGTAAATTGTGAAATGTCTGTCAGCCATCTGCTGAAGTACCTTCCACAGCCACAAGAGAGCACTCTTTATTTTTGGCTTATTGCCTGTTTGTTCACATGAGCCTTTGCACCATAAACCTTTGCATCGTTTTTCATCACTCTCACTGGTTGATACGTTTCTTATTTAGTTCGACTTTATATAGACCATGATTTATTTGCTGTTTTACTTCAGTATTGTTCTCAGTTACTTTTTTTGTGGGTCCTATTTTTATGGATTGCTTAGACATTAGTTTGCTGTTCTCATTTTTTGGATTGTATTTTGGTATATCATAACATTCATTCATTCATTCATTTTCTTGTCGGCTTAGTCCCTTTATTAATCCAGGGTCGCCACAGCGGAATGAACCGCCAACTTATCCAGCAAGTTTTTAATGCAGCGGATGCCCTTCCAACCGGAAGAAACATCCACACACACATTCACAAACACTCATACACTACGGACAACTTAGCCTACCCAATTCACCTGTACCGCATGTCTTTGGACTGTGAGGGAAACCCACGCAAAGGCAGAGAGAACATGCAAACTCCACACAGAAACGTCAACTGAGCCGAGGTTCAAACCAGCGACCCAGCTACCTTGCTGTGAGGCAAAAGCACTACCTACTGCGCCACTGCCTCGCCTTTATATCATAACAACTGCATCTTTTTTTGCATAAGTGTTTTGTGATAATCTTGAGACATCCTTGAATCCATTTAATGACAAAAGCAGTGTTGTAATTACTTTTACACATATGACAGAAAAAATTGATTTAGTCATGTGAACCGAGCACACTGTCAAACCAAATTAATTCTCAAACAGCAAAATTTGTAACTACTAACGTTGAATATTCTGGGTACATAGATCTAACAGATACAGTGTATGTTATACAGGTTGACCTAAGACTCTAAATCAGTAGTGCCCAACCCCTGGTAGCGGACCGCACAAGAAATCATTAATAATTTCTTTATTTATTATTTGAGTCTGAACGATCTTTTATTTTGAAGAGTCTTTTAATTTAAAAAATGACCATGTGCTCTTGGTTACATCTCAGACACGTAAGCACCAAAATGTAACCCACAAGCTAGCAAAATAAGTAACATATGTCTTTGGAATATTTCTTTACGAAGAGGGAAAAAGCCCAGAGAAGGACCCATGAACTGCCAAGGAATGGATCCCCAACCCGTTTGTCAACAAATCAGGTGAATCCAGCATGTCTGTGCAGGAAGGAACTGCCGTTCACAAATAGCATCTTTTCCATGAGCAAGTTCGTTATTTCCAATGGAAACCCAGTTGAAATCATCCTCATAATGCTGAGAGTGCACCGCAAGTCATGTGACAAGAACTGACCGCTCAACATCATATTTTTTTTTATGAATATACACATTTCGGTAGACTAATTATCTTCGACAAACACAGAACACCCAAACAATGCAGAGCTTTTTAATTTTCTCTATAAATAAAACTTGTATCAGAGTTGCAGCAATGTTTTGTCAGCTTGTCATTCTCTGAGAAAACGGTTGATGGTCGCCTAGCACCCAGGGCCGGAGCAAGCTGAACTGCCGCTCTAGGCAGAGGACGATCACGCCGCCCTCAATCCCAATGTGAAAATGAAAGTGACCGGTTATAAAAATGAAGTGAGGTGTCGTGGACCTCTTTTTTGCCGCCCTATGCGCAGATATAACTGAGGATGCATGGGTGCTGAGGGAGGGAGGGAGGTGTCGCGGACACAGCACTCTCTATTCTGCAGCCCTATGCGCAGATATAACTAAGGACACGCGGGTGCTGATGGAGGTGTCGCTGACGCTACCCTTTCAATTCTGTCGTCTATGCACTAATATATCTGAGGACGCGGGTGGTAAGGGAGGTGTTGCGGACATAACTGAGGACGCATAAGGGAGGTATCGCGGACGCCGCCCTCTCTATACTGCCGCCCTAGGCGGTCGCCTAGGTCGCCTCTATGGACACGCCGGCCCTGCTAGCCGGGCTGCGGAAAATTGTCAAGCGTTAACCTGTCCCAGATTTTAAAATAAACTTGGGGACCGCAGCTCTAAATGACAATAGATCCTCACTGGACAAATAAGGAAACCAGAATAAAACAATTATCCCACAATAAAATGGATTTTTCCATACTGTCACAATGCCATTGACATTTAGAAATTAAAAATGACTTACTGGCAAACTAAAACAATATATGCCACTATATTAAACAATTAGTTTGTGATTTATTTATCTGAATAGTTCTGTACAATCCTGCAGATTATTTGAATCTCCCAAAAAGATGAGTACAATAACACACATTTATTATTAATGAATAAACTAACAGGTCATGCATTTGAGGTTTTAAATTGAGTAAAATAAAAAATGGTGTGCTTAACGTTCTTACCGAAATTGCCCGGGGAAGTTCAGGTTTCTTGATTTTTAAATATAGAAGACCTGATAACGTTACTCCATAGAAGAACCAGGCAGTAAAGCTAGAAAGGAAAGTGAAAAATGTTAGAAACATGGTTGGCCCACTTCAGACTCAACCCAGATTTTGAGTTCCACAGACTAAAATAAAAGAAAATATGTCCTAACGTTAATATAACATATAGGGCCAACTTGACTAAACAATTCCAAAACCAGGGAATGGAGGGCTTGAAAATACCTGCAGGAGATTTACTGATTGTTAAAATTGGGATAAAGTACATCTATGAGGTTGCTATCAATAAAGTCCTACAGGCTCATTGGCAGCCCAACATGAACTGGCAAGTTGTTGTAGAACTCGAGTTGTTGTGGGATTCACAACAACTCACCTGGGACTACCCGATGGTAGAGGCCCAAAATAGCGCCTTATCAGAGAAAGAGAGTAATAACCAGGGCTTTACAAACTAACTTTTTTAATCACCGGCCACTGTGGCTAGTAGTTTTCCAATGTTACTAGCCACTCTGCATTTTCACTAGCCATAATTTTATTGTTGGAAAAAAAATATTTTTTATATGCATACATTTGACGTTGACATGCTAAAATTACTTGATTTAAATTTTGTGTTATCTCCACATGCGTCCCCATTCATTTCACTTTTTGTGTGTCTAGTATGAGCTTGCTCAATGAGCATAATCAAATGGGTCATTATAAATGGGTGTTATATTGCAATTAGTTTTTATTTCACATGACTTTTTTTTTAGAGCTCAAAATTAACGATGTACCAAATTTATCTCTATAACCACACTAAACAATAATTATTTTGATTCTAAGATCAAACTTGCACACATATTGGGTCATCCTTATATTGTCGAACCCTGTTCATCCGCGTGTGCGCACATTTGTGCAGGTGGTATCGTCCATTTCAAGTCTTTTAAGTGGTTCATCGCGGAAAGGCAGAAGCCAATCATATGCGTTTAGAGCCGGAAAAAGAATTGATCCATTTCTTCTGTTGAGTCCTCTATCGGGTTTGAGTCGTTCGTTCATCACGGGCCAATCATATGTGTTTTGAGCCGGAAAAAGAATTGAACAGTTTATCTCTCGAGTCCTTGGGTTTGAGTCATTCTATCACTTGATGAACGAACGACTCAACAACCAGAAGACTTGAAAGATGAACTAATTATCATGGCTCCTATCGACTCAGACTGTCACTGTATACATTGGTTAAGATTATATGTGGCTGTCAGTGTAACATGAACAAACCACTGACATTTGAAGGCATGAAGAGGTGAGCTGAGCAAAGAGATAAAAATACCTTCATAGACAAAAAAGCAGGTAAACATTGAATTATTATTTTCTCCTTCTTATAGTATTCTATGTATGACTTATTTTGGGCTAGTTGTAGATGTGTTTGGAAGCAATACATAAAATTTTAATAATATTTTGCCAAATTGAACCAAATGAACGAAATGACTCGAAAAAAGATTCGTCTCGATGAACTAGACCCAAAGATCCGAGTCAGTAAAATGATCTGAACTTCCATACACACACATATCATTTTCAAAAATCTTTCGGGTGTTTACACAGACACAACAACAGTGGTATTTTTACAAATTGACACTTTGTAACTCATTTTAAGAATTTAGCATGTTCAGTTCCAAGCTGTTGTGTAAATGAACAGACAAATTGCATAAACAGTTAATATACAGACTATGAATTAATATTTTCAATTCTGTTTGTTCTAAAATTATGGGTCTAAATTTAACAAAAATCCTGTAATTAAAGATCATCAATGATATCTCGATCTAACTGTATTCTATAAAATAGTTGAGTTTCAAACATTCAAACTTTTTTCCCAATTATTTAATTTCAAATGATTAGTGCATAGTGAAGATTACAAAAATAGTACATAGATGGATTTTGCAGAAAGTTTTATCCAAATAAGGCGCAGTACCTTAAAAAGTTGACTATTGCCTGGAAGTCCCCGGGAATGAGAACAATAAGAGCAATGACAGTGTTGAAAATGAGGGCAGGAGATGGAGTAAGCCGGTGCATGTGAGCCATGGCTAGTATGTCAGGCTGAAAGACAGAAATACATTTTATAGCACTTGTCCAGTTCATTTTCATGGAATGTGATTGCACTTAAGAAAATTCACACAAATCACAGGTAAGGGGCATTTTCCTGAACCCATTATTTAGCAAATGCATTGCTTCTTTACATTTACAAAGTCTACTATTTTAACCCAATAGTTTCCTGTTATCTTCAAATACACTTTCTTACCATATGGCCCTCTCTTGCTGCAACGTAACACACTCGTCCTCCACTGAAAAAGGATCCATTTAGAGAACCAAAGGATGAGAGTGCTGCAGCAATGGACATCACCCAGCCCCATCCTCCTAACACCTTATTTCTGTCACAAAAAAGAAAAATAACTAAGGGTTTACATCATCAAATTAAAATCTGTGGCTAACATGAGTACCAAGAACATGAGAAAGAACAATACAATATATCATTTCATTCATTCATTTTCTTTACGGCTTAGTCCCTTTATTAATCTAAACCACAGGGGTGCTAGTGAAATTACTGGAGATTTCCGGGAGAAGCAACAAAACGGGAGTGTTGGCAGGTATGGATTACACCAATGACTGTAAAAAATATGGACGACACGACCCATTGAACGCCTTGAGGGCAAAACGCCTGCTTGACAGGCACAAACTGTCGCAAAAGCCTGCTGAAATTGGAGCCTTGACATGCGCAGAAGGACTGTCTGATGGAGCCAGAGGAGGAGCTGCGAAAATGAGCGGAGTCGAGCTTCCAACCAAACGCTTTATGTAAAAATCAACCACGTCCCCCGAACTTCTCAGCATGCGTTTGCTGTCATATCAACACAAATGGATGTAATAACGTTAACAAATATGAGGGTTTTTTATATTCAATCGCGCCAGCTCCGGACCGCAGCGCATAACCTATTCGCGGCGTCGCGGGCTGATTCCGGCTCGCATGCGGCAGCGCCGGCTCGCTCGGCCGCCGCATTTGGCTCGATTGACTCGGGCTGGAATCGGGTAGTGAGTCTAGGCATCCGGAGTAGGTCCAGCAGAGGTAACATTAGTCAGTCTGAGCTCTAAGGGATAAGTCTCCAGCAGGCGAGAATCTAGCCGGAACTGTGTTTTGCTATCTGGGTGGTTAGGCATGTATCAGCAAACTAATAACGCCCGAAAAAAGCCCCGACCTTAGCGAATAAACAGTGTTCCACCAGGATCATGTATGTCAGAAACTATAGTTTACTGCTGAACTCAGTTTGTCATAGTAAAATAACACAGAAATCGAATAATAACACTTCAGTCTCCTGCCGAAGCTCAGACGCGCTGCTTTGAGAAACTGTCAATCACAGCTGTCAATCACGATGACACGCCCAGCATTAAATTACTGCTAAAAACAAACTGTTTACAAAAATGAAGATCTGCACCTATTTCAGCACTATAACCAGTGCCTTAATCCACCAGAACTATCTTTCGGGACATTTTATTGCAAGTGTAATACATTTTTTTTATTTGGGCTCAAGTCTCCTTCATTAACACGGAGGAGGCGGGCTTTATGACTTGTACTGCAGCCAGCCCCCAGGGGGCGATCTAACGGCCGAGACATTCACTCAAACGCAGGCTTGCGGCACACTTGGATTACACTGAAGCAGATTTCAGTGCATGTCAGAGTGTCTGTGGCCATGTGATGTGCGTTTTCATCGGTGTAGTGCGGATCTTTTCAGAAGTGTTAGTTTAAACGCCAATGTAGACGTGGATTGCTTTTGTTCTCAAACGAAAATGTATTAGTGTAAACGGAGCCTAAAATTTATTTGACTTTTGGAAAATCACGCATTGTCCCCCTCTTACGCCCCATACACACGGGGCTTCAGCGTCAACGCTTGACTGAAGCTGTGTCTGGAGTTGGGGGTGAAGTGATCGTCATAGAAGCGTCAGCCAATGAAATTCAGTCAGCAATAGGCCACTGTCTAGCTTGTGTATTTGCATACAGCGATCTGATTGGCTGACGCTTCCGCCGGCGCTTGAAAAGTTGAGCTGGTCCCAACTTCTGCAGCGAGCAACGCCTCTAAAGCAGCGCCGACGGATCCACAATGCAGTTCAGCAACGCCTCACGTCACCCATTCAAAGTGAATGGGAAGCATTGACGCTGATGCACCGTGTGAATCAGGAACCACTGATCTAAAAAGATATATAGCACTCTGAAATTTACCCCCATGTCACAGCTACTGCACTAGATGATATCATCTCTGCGGGTGACATGGCAACCAGATAACTGACATTGACTAGTAGGTAGAGAATCGTGACCATGGGAATAGCAATCATCAGTGCCCTCGGCAGGTTGACCTACAAGATAAAATCACAAATAAAAGTATTAAGGACCATAAATGAGAGCATTGCATTAATAAGACATACAGTTTAGCAGTTGTACATGACTAGTCATATAAATACTTTAACTTTGGAGAACATAGGAACTTTGTCTCACCTCTGGCCTTTTCACCTCCTCAATAACATTGTTTATGTTGCTCCACCCAGCATATGACCAAAGGCACTGATATAGTGCCATTCCAACAGTACTGATGCTAAGCTTTGCGTCTGCAAAAGCACTTTTGGAATTACATAGGCTTTCGCAGTTTCCCTGTGCAACTGTTATTATTCCTCCGATAACTATAATCATAAGACCAACAAGTTTAGCCACCATAAAGACCACCTGAGAAGCCATGGCAAAGCGAACATTTAGCACATTGATAGTTGAAATCACCAAGACACATGCTGCAGCAATACACTTAACCACTAGAATAGGAGGTGTACAGCCTGGGTAAAATGGTGCCACGGCATACTTGGCAAAGCTCAGGGAACCAGCTATAATCGAAAGTGGCTTCATTAGGAACATGGTCGTAAAGCTCAAAACGAATGCAAGACAAGGTCCATAAATTCGCAGGATATAGATATAGTTACCTCCGGATTCTCTGATAATGGTGCCTATCTCAGCATATGAGAAAGCTGTACACATGCATACTACGCCACACACTGCCCAAATGATCAAGCTTGCTCCTGAACTTCCAACGTAAACCAGAACGAATTGCGGAGACATGAAAATTCCTGAACCTATCATGACGCCTGCGGCCAGAGAAACAGCACTGGCGAGTCCCAATTCCCGTCTTAAATTCAGCTTTTCTGTATTTTTCATTGTGCTGGAATGCAAAAAGACAAAGCTGTGCCCAGATCTTCTGAAGAGTGTGAAATGAAGAAAAAAGAAATGAATGAAGAAGTTCAAAGTTCTTGTTCAATATTAACTACACTGGAAGCAAACGTTTTCAGAGCTTCAGATTCTTGCACGTATGTATATGTACTGTATTACCTAAAAACACAACTGTGCAACCTTTTTAATTTGTTGCTTCAGTGCAGAAGGTTAAGCTGAAAGCAGAATGTTTAGCAAGGTATGCACATGGACAACATTAAAATAGACAATCCGACAACACATTTAAAATAGTATGTTGCAAAACCGTTCAGCTGTAATGAAATAAACGAGTGACAGATCTGTATAATCATTACTGCAAGACACACTGAAACAGTTTTTTGTATATTTTGATTTTCACTTTCCAGCCTGACCAGCTAAGACCACGCTGGAAATGGCTGGAAACCAGTCTGGAAGTGGCCAAAACCCCTCTAAAACCAGACTGGTCAACCAGCTAAAACCAGCCAACCAGCCTAGACTAGTTTAAGCTGGATTTATCAGCAGGCCTATCAGATATAAGTGGTTCCTCATTCTGGATGTCCTTCATTTTAGTTGTAAGATTAGGAATTGGGTTTAGGATTTGTTGTTGTTTGGGTAATTTTAGTTTCTAAAGTACTTTTAGGCACCGATTGTTTACTGATTGATAGCATTTATACTTCATTTGGCAGATGCCTTTATCTTAGGTCAGGGGTATATTATATTTAACATATTACAGATATATAGCTCTATATGTTTATATATATGTAAACCGCATATAGAACAGTATGTGTTACACCATTTTAACATTTTAAAAACAAAAATGACTATTAATACAAATAAGAAAAATAATACAAGACATAAATACCTCAGGACGATTGACCTCTTCGGTAACAAAGTTTAAAGTATTCCAGCCATCGTACGCCCATAAACAGTGGTAAAAGGCTATACCCATGGTTTTAATGCTCAGCGTGGTCCCTTCAAAGGAATTTTGGAGGCTGTTGGATGTGGTTCCTCGAATGAGCAGCACAAGTCCCCCGATCATAATTATTATAAGCGCCATCACCTTAATAGCTGTGAATAACACTGTGACTTTGATGGAGGAGCGCACATTCAGGCAGTTCACAACTGTCAATGTCAAAATCCCCAGGGCTGCAAAGCACTTCACTGTTACATTTGGTGGTGGACAATCCTCATAGAAAGGTGCAAGGGCATTTTGGGAAAAGACAAGTGCTGATGCAATCATGCCAGTTGGTCTTACCACAATGTTGTTGGTGAAGGCGCATATAAATGCCATGACGTTACCTGAAGTGCGCAAGATGTAAATATACTCTCCTCCAGACTCACGAATCACAGTTCCCAGTTCAGCATAGCACAAAGAAGCTACCATGGCCAACAATCCACAAAGAGTCCAAATGATCAGACTAGCACCTGGACTTCCCATAAAAATCAGCACATATTGAGGGGAAATGAAAATTCCAGATCCAATTATGACTCCAGCAATGAGAGACACTCCACCCAGCAGCCCTACTTCAGGCTTCAGCTTCAGCTTGGAACTCTCCATAATGTAGAAATGCAGACCGCAAATGTTGAGTTTGAAAAGACTCCATGAACAGGACCAAACAACACAAAACACAAGATGATTTAGAGTTAATATGTACTGGCAGAGCACCCCAAGGGTCACAGTCTGGTTCTGGCTTTTCATTTATCTTTTTCTGACTAATATTTATTCAAGTTCTTGCTGGCAATATGGTTAATGCGTAATTAACAATGCAAAGTCATATGTAGGCTAACATCTTTAACAGAAAGATGCGTTATCTATGTGTTTTTCTATACGAAATAGGCCTGTACGGGATACATTTGAGGTGCTGATAAAAAAGAAAGTAATTAAAGAAGTGAATGAGTTTAAGTATCTTGGCATAACTCTAGACATTAATTTAAAATTTGATAGTCATGTTAAAAATTTAAGTAAGAAAGTTAAGCCAAGTCTAAACTGTTTTCGTTTTATTAGAAGGTTTTTAACATATCACACTGCAAAATTATACATGCACACATTAGCCCCTTTCACACATACAGACCTTTCCGGAAAATTGCCGGCAATTTTCCGGAAAGGTTGTATGTGTGAACAGGTCCTTTTTGAAAATACCGGTAAATTCGTTCTGGCTATTTTCCGGAAAGAGAAGTTGTAACATTACCGGCAATTTGCCGGAATGCTGCGCTGTGTGAATGCAGAAGGAAGATTCCCGTAATAAGCGCGTGCACGTCTAGAACGTGCTGACGTGAGACGTCTGCTTTAGCCAATCACAACAGTCAGACGCATTTACGTCCGCGCGGTTTATGAGAATAAAAGCCTTTGAATATTTTTCCAGACACATTTAGCTGCTAGAAGTTAGTCAGATCACGTTTATATGTTCTTTTTAATGCCAACTGTGTAAATAATCATCGATGAGATGCTTATGATAAGCCGTTGTTTGTTTACCTTCAAGCTTTGCGTGTGCCTGTGAAACAGCCTGTGAGCGCCTGCACACGCACATATTATGAACATCTCGACATGCGAAAGTGATCCTGCGAAAGTTGTTCACAATATTGATCATCCACAGAGTTTGTAATTTAGTCAAATGTTTACAAATACAAGCGCAGCCGTTTAAAGCTCATTTGTGGTGAATGATGTCAGAATTTACCTGTATTTTGGAATGGATGTGTGAACGCTCTTTTCCGGAAAATTTACGTAACGTCCTCGCCTGTGTGAACAGCGCTTTTTTCAATATACCGGTAAAGTCTTTCCGGAAATTTTCCAGATATTTACCGGTATCACTGTGTGAAAGGGGCTAATGATATTCTCTCACTTGACGTATTGCATTACATCTTGGTCACAAGCCTCTTTGACTACATTGAAGCCTAATGACTCAATATATAAACAAGCAGTTAAAATTATGGACTTAAAGCCTATGCGATGGCATCATTGTGATGTTTTATGTAAACATAACCTGTTTAATTGTGATAGTTTTATTTAATTTAGTTATCTTAAATGGGTTTTTAAATGTTCAAATAATCATGTTCCAATCCTGTTTTCTCAGCTAATCAATCGGCATCAAACCTCCCACAGAGTTACACAAGCAACGGCTAACGGTGACTGTCTAGTGCCAAAGTGTAAGACCTCGTTTGGTCAATCTGTCTTCTCTGTAAAGGGAGCCAAACTGTGGAATGATTTACCGCTTAGCTTAAAATCAGAAAGTAATCTAAATATTTTTAGTAGTGCTCTTAAAAAGTGGTTAAAAAACAAAACAGCAGTGTTTGCACAAATAGTCTACTGTTAGTTGGTTGGATCATGTCGCCTTTGCTTTTGCCTGCAGTCATTTTATGTAAAGAATTGTAATGTTTTGTATGTTTTATTATATTTCTATTTTGTCAATTTTAAGCCTCCTATGTGGACAGGTATTGAAAATTTGCAAGTTTGCTAAAACACTTAAACAAATGCATTTGGTTGTCCAGTGTAATTGTGATGTCCATGTCAAATAAATAAAATAAAAAAAGTAAAAGTTTGCAGTAATTTTGCCAATTTTTAACACTTTTTTCAACATTCATGCTCATGTGTTTAAGAATGAGAAGGTATAGACCAATAAATAACAGCATTAGCAATAGTAGCTAATGCATGCAAACTCCACACACCATTTAATCCGTTTGTTTTCTTAGAAGCTCTGCAGTAACTTAGCTCCTATACAGGCAGATGCCCTAATGTTCTCATGACACGACTGAAATGTTCCCTCCATCAGAAAACAAAGGTTATCTTAACCAGAATGTTTTAGATTTTCCTGACTTGACCAACCAGCTCGGCAAAAACCAACCCAGTGATTTATAGAGTCTTTTAATAACATTAACATAACGGATTTCGGTAGTTTTAAGATGGAAAAGACAAATGACTTGCTATTGTATCTGACACTGCCCTTTTTCGTACACATTTGTTCCCAACATGTGGCCCAAAACAAGGGTTCGGAGGGATAAGATGTGGACTTAAATGCAGGATTAAGATGAGACATTAATTACAAAATTAAAATAAAAGAACAAAAATAGGCTGAGGGGGAACACAGTGACACATTTTTCTTATTATACAATTATAGACGAAGTACCAGTTTGTAAACATTCAGGATGCGCGCAGCGAGGTTGCAGAAAAAAACTGGGAGCATTAGCATTTACAGCGAGGGAATGACATGCGATGTGGTACAGAGTTGGTTGTTATATTGGTTACATATTATATATTAGTTGCATCAGTGGTTCTCAACCAGTGGGGTGCGGACACTCTTGCGGCGGGGGTGGGTTGTGAGGGGTAATGGCGCAAGTAGGCTACAGGATAGGTGGAAAAAACAGATTTTTTGGGGTGGATTTTTTAACTTTGTTTGGATTCATCAGCATACCTGTCAACAAAGAGCAACAATGTAACAAACTGAATTGATTCACAGGTCTGAAAGCACCCTCAGTCTCTTTGAGCCAGGTTGAGATAGCATCCTTAAGCCTGGTTTATACTTCTGCGTCAAGTGACCGGCGTAACCCACGGCGCATGCAACGCCCGTAGCCGTGCATTTATACTTCTGCGCGCGGTCTCCATTGGCCTGCATTAACACTTCCGAAACGCTAGTTGGCAGTGAGGTGAAAATGTTTCTCTGTGTCGAGTTTCTTCGCTGCTGTTTTGCTTTTCCTGAACACTTCCTGGATGTACAAGGGGCTCAAATTCGCTCATTTTGAGGAAGGAACCGGCGGACGTGCAACAACTTTAACTATGAGGTAAACACAAAACAAAACTTTCCTTCACAGGACTCCACACTTGTAAACAATCGCTCCATTGGGCTCATGCCATTCGCATGGCTCTCGGTCCTGCCCAGACTCATCAGCGCTACCAAGCCGACCAATCACAGAGCTTGCGCTACGTGTTGTTGCGACGTGTAGTTACATTTTTTGAGAGGTGCACGTCAGTGACACCGACGGCCACGGCGAAGGGCTGTGCGTCAACGGCGTAGCATACGCCGGCGTTTGACGCAGAAGTGGAAGACACTGTCAGTAAGAGCAGGGAACAAGGGGACATAAATTACTTTGTCCGTCCTACACCTTCTGATTTAACGTAGACTAACCATGTTCTGTACTCTTTTCGCTATTCAGCGCACTCAAACGACCACTCCTCCGTCATTGAAAGCCAGATAAGCATGCTTGTGTGTTCATTCTCTGGGAGAATACCTATTGCACAATCCAAATCTTGATTGATGTCTTTTGGACCAGTAGTTTTTGAGAAAAGATGGGATAAGTACCGCCTTCGCATGTGTACGGAAGATGATAGGTATTAACGATGTTCCGTACACGACTAAAATAGTGTTCCGTACAGGGCGCATAACTTTAATTTTCGGCAAAAATGGGCATTGTTTGAAGTCTTATTAAAATCTTATGTCAGAATATACTATTATTGTGTTTAACTTGAAGTTAATGATATATTGAATAACTCTTTTATGAAAGTTTTAAATGAAATAGCTTCAAAATCATTTACTTTTTATATCATGTTTATTTTATTACAGCATGACAATTTAAAATATTAAAACATTAAATTCATGCACATTGAAGCTAACTTGACTGACCCTTTATGAATGTAAACATCATTACTGCAAAAGGAGGATCCAAACAGCGTTTGCAGCCTGTCTCTCAGGCGGAGAGTTGCGACATGCGGTATTTACCCACAATTGATGTTTAAACATCCCCATTTTAAAGCATTTATTCAACAAAAGATAATTTATTTAACAATTTGTGATAACATAATATTCACTTCATAAAGACTGTAATACCGTGTGATGCATAAATTAAATGCAAAAGCATATTGACGGGGCTTTAAATGTCTCCCCTCCCAGGCGACACTCGCACTTTAAGCTTGCCCACTTTCTATTTTCAAGCGCATTAGGTGGACGTAGCAAACTTACTGATTTTACTCGGAAACATATAGTAGGAATGTCTCTGTTGTGGTTGGGGCTGAAAGAGTGAGAATTAAAGATTACACAGATATATAGCTTGCCTACGACCCATAAGTATTTATTCAGAGATTAACGTTAAAAGGTCATCTGTACGGAACATCGTTGTGTACGGAATATGGTTAGTCTACGTTACAAACATTTTTAGATCACCACCCACAACAGAATACCAGAAATCCAGTTGTGCTGAAAGTATTAATCTATAAGGATGAAACCAGCAGGAAATGGCTCACATATTGTAAGAGACATCATGCATTGTTTTGTTTGTATGGTGTTTGGGAAGACTGATAACAACAGCACATTCATTACCTGAATGTCAGATTGGAGACATGTTCACCAGAGCATAGAGGAGCATGAAAAAAGCATTGCACAGCATATGTGTGCTGAAGTTTTCCCCCCTAATATGTTCGAATGCAGATATTAGCAGCATCTTTGCTAGTAGACAGATGTCTGAACAAGTAAGAAATAGACGGTATCGGAGCGTGTTGTGGATGTAGCTTGGGATGGCAGGGCTGAGCTATACTGTAGGTATATTGAGAATGAGGCAGAATATACACTCAATGACTATCGTAGACCACGGGATGCATCGAATATTGGGTGGGATAATGTTGATACTTGCTGTGATTTCA